AAACCTTAGGGTACAAAAATGGTAAAGGTAAGGAGCAGCCACTGTGCAGGGGACTGGCAGAGCCCCAGGAAAGTGACCCCGCCAGCACTGAGATCCAGACCTCATTGAAGAGCACCTGCCTATGGCTCCCTGGATGGCACAGAAATCGCTGTGGCTCATGCTTGTGACTTTCATTGGAAATCCACTGTCTGGGGTTCCGGGGGACTTTGCTGCCTTGGGTGGGAGGTGGGAAGGGGTATCAAGGGAGATTTCTGGATGAGCATCCGGAACACAGGATTCTCTCTAACCCTGCGCTTTAGTTCATATTCTGTCTTCTGTCAGGGAGCTCTGACTCCAACTGCACTCTGATATAAAACAGGCCAAGTCTGTAGGAAGAGCGTGACAAATTTTCAAGTCTCCTGAAATTTGCTTTTAAGAGTCAGCGGAAGTGAGGAGAGAGTTAGGAGGGTAATATATATATATACCGATAATGTTGAGGCCCTTCTCCAGGAGGATTTAGAACTCATTTTCAGCAATATACTGAAAATATAATGAGCTTGGTGGTTTCTAAGGTACATCCCCAAGGAAATATTAATTTGATTTCTTTAAGCTGCAAGAAACAGAAACCAATCCTTTCTAGCTTAAAGAAGAAAAGGAATTCATTGGAAAGATATTAGGGAAGCTCATGACATTAAAGAAAAAGTAGAAGATCCTGGAGTTTGCAAGGAAGATCCTCTGGAGTCGCAGATGCAGAAATTAAGGTCCTTTCTTCAACTTCTTGCCTGATTGCTCAGGCAGTAAAGAATCTGCCTGCCATGCAGGAAACACAGGAAATGCGAGTTCAATCCCTGAGTTGGGAAGATCTCCTGGAAAAGGAAATAGCAACCTGCTCCAATGTTCTTGCCTGGAGAATCCCATGAATACAGGATACAAGACCCCTAGGCTACAGTCCGTGAGGTCACAAAAAGTTGGACACGACTGAACGACTATGCACGCATGTCTTCAACTCTTCGCATCGCCTCAACTCAGCTCCAGTAAATGTCACTCCCCAAGTGTAGGAGGCAGCCTATGACTGATCTAGTTTGGATGAGATTGAGCCCTTACCTGGATCTTCTAGTGATGGCCCAAGTCACAAATCAGAGAGTATGGCTTGACCAACAGACATCTGAACTGGGTTCAGTTCAGTTCAGTTGCTCAGTCGTGTCTGACTTTGTGACCCCATGAACTGCAGCACGCCAGGCCTCCCTGTCCATCATCAACTCTTGGAGTTTATCCAAACCCATGTCCATTGAGTTGGTGATGCCATCCAACCATCTCATCCTCTGTCATCCCCTTCTCCTCCTGCCCTCAATCTTTCCCAGCATCAGGGTCTTTTCAGATGAGTCAGCTCTTCACATTAGGTGGCCAAAGTATTGGAGTTTCAGCTTCAACATTAGCCCTTCCAATGAACACCCAGGACTGATCTCCTTTAGGATGGACTGGTTGGATCTCCTTGCAGTCCAAGGGACTCTCAAGAGTCTTCTCCAACACCACAGTTCAAAAGCATCAATTTTTTGCGCACTCAGCTTTCTTTGTAGTCCAACTCTCACATCCATACATGACTACTGGAGAAAACCACAGCCTTGCCTAGACGGACCTTTGTTGACAAAGTAATGTCTCTGCTTTTTTGATCTCCTTTAGGATGGACTAGTTGGATCTCCTTTCAGTCCAAGGGACTCTTAAGAGTCTTCTCCAACACCACAGTTCAAAAGCATCAATTTTTTGGGCACTCAGCTTTCTTTATAGTCCAACTCTCACATCCATACATGACTACTGGAAAAACCACAGCCTTGCCTAGACAGACCTTTGTTGACAAAGTAATGTCTTTGCTTTTTAATATGCTGTCTAGGCTGGTCATAACTTTCCTTCCAAGGAGTAAGAGTCTTTTAATTTCATGGCTGCGATCACCATCTGCAGTGATTTTTGGAGCCCCAAAATAAAGTCAGTCACTGTTTCCACTGTTTCTCCATATATTTGCCATGAAGTGATGGGACCGGATGCCATGATCTTAGTTTTCTGAATGTTGAACTTTAAGCCAACTTTTTCACTCTCCTCTTTCACTTTCATTAAGAGGCTCTTTAGCTCTTCTTCACTTTCTGTCATAAAGGTGGTGTCATTTGCATACCTGAGGTTATTGATATTTCTCCCGGCAATCTTGATTCCAGCTTGTTCCTCCTCCAGCCCAGCGTTTCTCATGAACTGGGTATCAGGGCCAAAACCAGAAGTGCTGGTGCCTTGTTGAGCCAGGCAATCAAAGGAGAGAAAGCTGCATAAAGGAAATTTTACCTATAGCTGTTCTTGGTAATAAAATGTGCAAGGGACTATCTGGGAACAACCAGTCCAATTCTCTTAGGTGAGAGCCAATCCTCATTTGGGAATCTTCAATTTGTGACTAGCCAGACATCCATTACCATCAGGTAAAGCCTGGCAATAATGAGCATCTTCCTGATTACTCTTGTCACTCTTTTGCAAGGAGCTGAAAATGATAATAAATGCAAAAGCTGTGTTTATTGGTTCGTGAAGTTGAGTGTGTGCAGCCCTTTGATAGTGCGTCTTCTTGATAGTGAAAGTCTGGGAGGGGGTGGGAAACATTCTGCACATTAAAGACTCAATTTATTTGACAAGGTGTCTCAACAAGACAATCTCATGTACATGAAAATCTTGGGCTTTTGTTTGCTTTACCAAAGTAGAGACAACAGAGCAAGAAGCAGGTGTTCTCCTTATTCCCCCTCCTTTCAGAGCCCCCTCCCACGCCTTTGCTTTCCTCCTTAATAAGACAACTGCAGGGTTGGGATGACTTTAACTGTTTTACTCAAGGACATGGTTCAGAGTTTTGCCCCTAGAACTCTTCTCACTCTGAGTTCTTAGTAGGAGGCCAGAGTGAGCAATTTTATCTAATAAATTCTCAAGCCCTCAAGGAGACATCAAGGCATGGAGATCTCATCTGTAGCTTAAGAAAACAGAAAACTGTGCTAATAATTAATGCAGATTCTGGGACAGAGAGCCTCATAGCTGGAAGCCCTGAATATGCTCCTCCTTTTATTAAGCTGTGAATTTTGGTTATGACCAAATCTGAATTGGATAGGATTTTGGTGTCAAATATTAGTCATGATGATAGTGAAAAAAATACTGATGGGGGGATCTAAGAACTCTGACACACACACACACACACACACACACACACACACACAGAAGCGGGGGCAGCAATGTGACTAAAGAGAGAGAGACTGGAGTGAGGTGGCCATAAACCGAGGAATGTCACAGTCATCAGAAGCTAGAAGATGAGCATAGGCAAGAGTTGGAGACTCTGAACAGAATTAATAGAGGAGATTCTCAAAATTTGGGGACTTTCAGGATTGGAAAATCTAGTTTCTGAACTCCAAGTGCCAAGTAATGAGAATGAAAAGAAGTTTGAACAAAGATGTGTTAGGATTTTTGTAGTTAAATAGAAACCATACTCTGGCAACAAAGAATTTATTAAGGATGTTTCTTTATCACCAGAGTCTATTTTTTAGGTGTCCTCAAGAAGCTACCATTAAGAAGAAAGACATAAGAGCAGGAAAGTTATGTATTCAGTAATGTTGGATAATAATGTCACACATTCTTGGCACATGAGGCTGAATAGAAACAGTTGTATCAGAAGGTTAGTGAGCTTTTAAGGCAATTGTACTGCCAAAGCCATCACAAGCCTGGATTGGAAAAGGCCTGTGCTTATAAATCAGCCTGAAGGTACCATTAGGACATGAGCAGAAGACACTGGGTAGCCTCCACAGAGGGAACACAATGCCGAGTTCAGAGGTGACCGGGGAGGATAATAGACAAAAGGATAATGGACAAAGCTATGGAAAAAGCAAAAGCAGAGTAAAGCTTGGAATTTCTTCCGTTGCTCAGGCTGAGGGTCTTTCTTCTTTCTTCCTGGAAAGATTCCCTATTGCTGTGGGCCATGGCTGCTAAGTATAACCATTCTTCCCTTCCCACAAAGGAAGTTTTCACTGGACTGTGTCACCGGCCCACAAGGAGACTCACCTGTCCCTGATGAAGAACACCATACACCCACCACCAAGGAATCCTGGGTGTGGCCCCAGATACAGTGACTGGATGGGACTTGGGGTTGACATCTTTGGGGAGGCAGTGAGGGTATTCTATATGGGAAGAGGGCTGGACTGGAGGGACCAGTTGTGCAGAGATGGCTTCCTGGCCATAAATTCTGATGCTTCACCTTTGGCATTGTTGATGGGATACGGCGCCTTGTGAAGGGCCACTGTTAACCAGCCTCACCTCCTTCAAGCTGAGGCCATGTGATCAGTACTTCACTAAGGAGGTGATGTGTATCATTCTTTGTTTTTTGTTTTTGAGTTCACATTTGTTTATTGTTGTAACATTTTGTTTTGAACATCAAACACTGCACCAAAATATGAGCCATTTATCTTCAGACAGTTATCTATGCCATAAAGTACTGATGTTGACAATTTCTGACAACTCAAGAAACGTATTAGTGGCACTGCTGTGTCTAATAATCAAATGTCATCGTAGACCGAATGTAATGATTAAAATAAAAGAGCAACATTTCCCCTTCCTCTTCCTACCTTTAAAACAAACCCAAAAAAGTAGTTTTCACCTGGAAAGAGCACTTACTTTAAGCCAAAACTCAAATTTTTCACCGGTTTCATTATACCCAGCATTCTCTAAAGCGGGAAAACAAGGCTTCCCAGAGTTAACTATTGATGATACTCGAAAAGATGACAAAATCCCCTGGGAGAGTCTGTTTTCACCAACCTGCAGACAACTCAGGTCCGCCCTTGGCCTGTTCCTTTGGGTCTGACCGGCACCTCTGAGGACACACTCCATCTGCAGGGCCATGTGTAGTCGGGGGTACGAACACTTCTGGCTCCGGTGGGTGGCTGTCACTCCTGGATTGTCAGCGGCTTTTATCTCCCATCATGCTAGGAAGTGTTTTCCTTTTTCCAGCTGAGAACTAGGCAATGTCTTACAGCACAGCAGATGTGGGCCTCACATGCAGGGCCGAGCCTGCCCGCTCTGGGCCCTCGAGCATGCGTCCTGAGCCCCGCAGAGACGCAGATGTGGACACCACAGCCACACGAGCTTCCGCGCACGGACACCAAGGCAGCTGTACAGTTGGGTGGGATGCAGTCGGGAGGGACGGAAAGAGGGAAGGGGCCACGGCCATTCCACTGGCGGAGAGAGTGACCCAGAGGCGGCTCCTTGAGATGTCGCCCGCCCCCGAGGGCAGCGAGCGGCCACTGCTCCTCCTCAGCTCTCCTCCTGAGGTCTGTGTACAAACACACCGAGGGCATCTCTCTTTCACAGAAAGAACAAATGTCACTTGTACCAAATGGCAATGGATTTTCAGCACAAACTATACTTTTGTGACACTCGAGCGACAGTCGTCATCTACGTTCAGCAAGAGGGGCTCCTTTAAATGAGGAGGAACACTCAGGTTGATCAGCACGTGTACCCAGCGGACCGGTGACACCCGCCGATCAATGTGCAGGGACAGGATGACACACTCTAGCACTGACGGACAGCGGGCGGAGGGGTCGGCCACCCCAGTGCGGGTTCCCAGTCGTGGCCCTCTAAGATGCCCCCATCCCGAGAGGAGAGCTCATCAAGGAGGAGAAGCTGTCTCATGAGAGACTCTTTAAAGGACAGGAAGGCATGTGTCAAGCTTTTCCGTACCACACACAAGCCTGTGCGGCTCCAGGGAAGGGCCTGCACCCAGCACAGGGCCAGGCCGCCGCCAGCAGCCATGAGATGAAGGAATCATGGGCCACTAGGATGTCACTAACAGGGCAGAACCTCACATGACAAACACAACGCAGCTTCCTGACCTGCTGTCCGTGAATAGGTCTTTAAAGGATGCATCCTTGAACCGTTAGCGGTGGGAAGGTTTGCCCTGGGGGAAGCATGTCTGGTTTCTCTGGGAACACAGCTTCCGGGCTCTGCCTCCAACATGGCTCAGTGGAGTCCGGACCTTCAACCCTCCACTCTGGAGGGCAGCCACCCCCACTTCTCCAGCTCGAGATGAACAGTACCGTGGTGGAGCAAACTGAAGAGAGGAGTGCCCCCAAAACCAGCAGGGAAAGCAAGAGGCGGACCCGAAACCACGGTGGGGGGAGGGGTGAGCACCACCCTGCAGTATTTCACTATCACCCCCCTGGCCCCCGACTCGGACCTGCTCACTGCTTTCTCACCCAACGCGGGGCTGCATGAGGTCACCACTGGTCCCGAGGGCCTCCTCTCTAACAGTTCTCTTCATTTTAAGCCCGAGGGGGCTGTCCGCACCAGCTCATCTCTGCAGGCTCGTGCTCACAGCCCTGGAGGGGCAGTGTGGACGGAACCCTTCCTGCGTGGCTTGCTCAGTTGCAGGCAGGGGGAGGGGCAACAGACCGCTTCCTGGGGCCTGGAACAAGCACATGTCTGCATCTCTAGGCCTCCCTGAGAACTGAGTTTCCCTGGTGGCTAACCGACTCCTGCTGCCAGGACCACTCTCACATCATTACACACATCCTGCAAGACCCGTGCCTTCCGGTGGGTCCAAGACACAACAGTTCAAGTCCCTGCCGAGGAACGGTCAGTGTGAGGAGGCGATGGTCCTTCCTTCCCCTGAAGCCCCAGGTGCCAGAGCCAGCATCCTTCTTCCATGGAGTAGGAGATGGAGGGAGGAGCCCGCGGGAGAAGTGAGCGGGTGATTCAGACATCATCAATAACTGGACCCTGATTCCCTACAAGCAAGCCCTCCTCTCAGAGAGAGAAACACTCTCAACTGCCCAGTGGAAATTAGAACACTTTACTTTGTGCAACGTTTGGTCCACTCTTAGCTTCTCTTTTCTTCTTCTTAAATTATGCAATTGAAGGAGAACCCGGCACGCAACTCGACACAGAGCATGTGGGAGGCCAGGCCGGTGACTGGAGCCCGGGCCTCAGGCCTGAGCCCCTTGCTGCGCCGGCCGCCGGCACCACACGGCAGCCCCGGGTCCGGGCGGACACGGGGGGGCGGGGTGCGTCCAGCCCCGGCAGCTCCCCAGCCCATTCCTGCCGGCGCCCGGCGGGTAGCGCGCTGTCCCACACCTGTGGCCGGGAGGGTCCCCGCATCCTCTGTCCAGCAGAAGGCCGGTCGCCTCCCCTGCTGCGGGGGCCGCAATCCAGCCCCCTGCCAGGGGTGCCGCCTCAGACCAGGTCCTCCAGGTCCACCTCGGGGATCCGCTCTCGCCAGTAGCAGAAGGAGCTGAACTCCGGGCATGGGAAGGAGGAATTCTGTTCCTTGTTGAGAAGCGGGAACACATGTTCCACGAGCTCGCTCAGCCTGTGGAACAAGGATTTGTTTCCTTTGGTCCTTTCTTGTATCAGCTCGCCCTTGGGGTTCACGGTGAAGATCCTGCAGTCTGGGACACCCACTTGTCTGTAAGCATAGACGTCATTTGGGCGGTTCCCTAAGGCAGCGTAGAAGGGCTGCTGAGCTGGGGCAAAGAGATTCTTGATGTCAGTCAGACACTCAATCTTGAACTTCTCCGGCTTCTTTTCTATTACTTCCCTGTGGAAGGCAGAAAACAGGCTGCTGGGGGACAGCATGAGGGGGCCGCAGGGCAGGATGGTGCCCTTGTCGTTGACCCAGTGCAGGTGGCCGCGGGTCATGTCGGCCATGCCGATGGCGTGGGCCGAGCAGTACAGAAACTTGTGGCCATTCTTGTTGATGGAGCGGTAGAGCTTCGCGACACCCTGGTGCGGCCAGTCTTTGCCCAGCTGCGGAAGAATCTGTCCCAGAGCGTCAGACTTGGTTATCGTCCCGTCAGTGTCGGAAACGATGACCTTGTCGTTCCAGTTCCACAGGTAAATGGTCCCGGCACAGCGACAGGTGCCTTGATACTGGGTTGTGATACTAAACACGACGTCGTTTGGGCCATCTTGGAGGTTCAGTTTCGCGATCTGGTCTGAGGACAGATGAAGAGACTTCTTATAGGAGGTTGTGCCACTATGGCTTGGGGGTTCTGTGGGGGCGGAGTCCACCTTGATGGACTCTTCCAGTTCCTGGGACCCTTCCTCACTCGATGAGTCATCCTCAGCCGACCTGCCGCTGGCTGGCTCCTTTGTGCTTGATGGCCGGTCACTGGGCGGTGGGACCTCCACTTCCCCTTCCTTGGCCTCTGGCAGCTGCTTGGTTATGCTCTCCCTCTTATGCCAGAACCACCAGCAGCCAGATTTCTTTGGCATCTTATCTTTGACCCAGGACTCGACTGTGGCCTTGGGCAGGCTCTTCTGGAAGACCTGAAGGCTGAGGACCATGGGGGCCGCCAACGCCCAGCTGTAGTAACGGTTATATATCCGTATCACAAGGCTGGGATTGTCTATGAGTCCAGGATTTTCTGCGAATTCATGGTACGTAATGATGTGCTCCATAAATTTCTCTTTGGAGATCTCTCCGTTCTCGCTGAGGCCGCCGCAGAGCGACAGGGTGACGTCGGGCAGGTCCATGGCGGAGTCCGAGAGGCACTCGGTGCCGCTGTTGGCCGCCGCACTGCCCACCGACTGGGGGGACTGGGAGCCGGACAGCGTGTCAGACTCGGGCCACTGCCGGGAGCTGGGCTCCGACTCGCTTTTGGGGAAATAGAGAGCTGCAACCTCAGGTTCCAGTGCCTTCAGGTCATCCAGGTAAATATCATCAGGCCCCTGGTGCTGGCTTCTCTTGTGGACACCTCTCTTCTTGGAGGGTGAGTTGACCTTAGCAGCTGGTTGGGCTTCTGAGGGGGCCTCCACGAAGTGGGGTGAGGGAGGCAGGCGGGGGGCATCCAACCCCACGGGGGGCTCCCGAGGGCCGGCTGCCGAGGCTGCCCCGCCATGCTGCTTCCCTGGGGCTCGCGGCTTGGGCTTCACGATGGTGCAGACCGTCTCCCCCATGGAAGCGTCCTTCTCAACCTCACTCAGGAGGCTGTCCTCACTGGGGATCACCCGGAAGTGGGTGTTTTCTGACTGCGTGATCATCGCTGTCCTGGGGTGATACTCAGACCGCTCCCGTTTGCTGACCTTGGTGGACTCCGGGAACCTGCCCCAGGTCCACTCCATGTGGGACTCGGATCTGAGTAGGCTCCCGGCGGGCTTCACTTCCAGCTCTGAGTCACTCTTAGACAGGCCACTGGGGGTAGGGGTTGTCTAAAGGGGGCCAGTCTCCATCAGACAAGGGGTAGTGGTCTCCGGAATGGAAGAGCAGGGGCTCCTTATGTTCTTCTTCCTTTAAGGAAGCGTTTGAAGATCTTCTTGCCAACTGGGCCCCCTTGTCATCGTCAGAGCTCAGGTCCACACCCATGGTGTCCTCGGCAGGGGGCGACACAGCCTGCTCCTCCTTCTTACTGTCCTGTTTGCATTTCTTCCTTCTTCGTTTTTTCTTTTTTACAGAACTGGGGGTGAAAACTGTCTCTGCTTCCAGGATGTGGGCAACATCCGAACTCTGAGGAGGTCTTTCATTTCCACCTGGTTTCACCAAACGGCTGTCAATGTATACTCCTCTTCTGTTTCCTCGACAAAGAAAGCTTCCCCGTTGTCGCCCAACTTCATGTGGAGATCCACAGCATCGCCATTGATCTCTATGTCAATCACCTTCTCCTTGGACCTCAGGACCCCCAGCTTCCCGAAGCGCACGTGGAAGGGTGAGCACTGGTAGGAGCCATCCTGCTGTCGCACAACCACTACGTCGATGCAGCCGGACAGCGTGGCCTGGTTGATGCCCTTGTAGAGCTCCTTCACTGTGACCATCACCTGTCCCGCCAGCTGCCCCACATAATTCACAGTTTGAGACTGCGGCGACTCCGCTCCCGGCCCGCGCCGGCGCTCGGAGGGCAGGCCCATTCTTTGTTTGAGAAATGCCTTCTCAACTGTCTATTGCTGCTTCTTCCTTGATGCAGTGAGCTCTGAAACCTTAGGCAATGGTAGAGTCATAAGACTGAAGGTCTCTGGACTACCTATGGCACAAGGGAGAAGCATTCACCAACCAGAAGTGCCTGCAATGGGTTGTTGCATGAAGGAGAAAAAAATGACTTTTACAGTAAAATACTACACTACTCACAACTGCATACACACTTACATCACAATATTTTCTTTTTTCTTTTAACTGAAATATAGTTGCTATACTATATTATATATGTAGAGATGGGTGGATGAGGTGCTAGAGTAGAAGTGAGTACTTGAACTGGAATGTTCTTGTGGATAATTACATAGACAGAGAAGTGAGGCAGCTTTCAGGAGATGCTGACTAGCTGGTGATAGAGTTAGATGTAGGGGTGAGGTCTGTTAAGTCTCTGTTCAATGATCTTTCCACCTGACTGGTCTTCTTCCCACTTGGAGAAATCACTTAAATTGCACATCAGGGACACATCAGTAGCTCTGATAAAAAGCTTATTCCTGGAGGAAATTAAAACTATTGACAACAGAGAAGTTCAAGATTACTTGTAAGCTCCAATCATCTTGCCATACATAGCTTCATCAATGATTAAATAGAAGGTGGTTATGACCGAGAATCAGCATTCACTCTTCACTCGTTGTGGGGTTTACTATTTTCTAAAAAAACATTTTCCAGTTGGAATCTTTAATGTTTTATTTTTAACCTCATTATATTTCTAAGCTCAAATAACTATTTTAAGTGTACCCTCTGCTCCGTCCTCCTGGAACTCTGAGCAGATGGCTTTGCCACATTAACAAGGATTCTGGAGACATCATGAATCGTTTTAAACCCTGACTCCTCCCCCTAAACCTACCTGTACCCTCGCCCTTACCCTTACCTAACTTCAGAAGAACAAATCTCCCTTCCTGCCTAACTCTAAACCCTTCACCTGCGCTCAAGTTACCATGTCCGTCTAGTTCTTCCTAAAGTTTGCATCATCAACTATTCTCTCATTCTCTCTCCTATATGTTTAAATTCTCATCTTAGCCTATAAACATGCTTGCATCTCTTTATAAGCAATCCCCAGAGTGAGACTTTCAACCTTTTTCCAGCTGATACCTTATCTCCTCTGTTCACTTAAAGGTTCTTGAGTTTTCAGGACTCACTCTCTCCACCTCATCATATCTCCTTAAAAGTCACCAGTAAGTTCCTGATTGCAAAGCATTGGAGTCACTTTATTTCTACCTCCTTTGTCTTATCTGTGATATTTAGCATTAGTTATCACTCCCCTTTCTTTTGACTCTCTTGGTTTTCCTTCTACTGCTCTAGTAGCACCTACTTCATCTCCTTCACCACTTTCTGTTCTTAGAGTTTGTAGTCTAAAGCTGGGATATGATGATATTTTGCCCTTGATTGTTCTATGAATGAAATGATATAGTCTACATATAGTCTACAGGGTAACTGCTTGGAAAATAATATAGTCACTCAATGAGTTTGGTTTTAGAATGTTCAATTTGAAATGCTTGTAGCATCCTAAAGTTAGGGGTGGACATGTACACACTGCTATGTTTCAAATGGATAACCAACAAGGACCTATGGTATAGCACATCTAAGTCTGTTCAATGTTATGTGGCAGCCTGGATGGGAGGGGAGTTTGGGTACATATATGTATGGCTGAGTCCATTCGCTGTTCACTTGAAACTGTCACAACATTGTTAACTGGCTATAACCTCAATACAAAATAAAAAGTTTTTTTTTTTAAAAAAAGCAGCTAGAAATAAGGATCAAGCTATAGTTGTTGACCTGATTTCATCAGTGCATAGCAGAAGTTATGGAAGTTTATCATATCACCCAGGGAATGTGTATCCATCAGGATAGGCTAGGGTATCACCAAAATTTAGTGGCTTTAAGCAACAGAAGTCCAGTTCTCATTCATCATTCGTGTTGATTGTGGGTTAGCAGCTCATTGTTATCATTCAGTTACTGAGGCTGCCTGAATAGCTGCCGACTTAAAGGTGGGCAGGTAGGTTCAGGAGGAAGGGAGCTCTGGGGAGTCTCACACAAGCAAGAAAGTGCTCTGGTTCCTCCTGCTCACAGCAGGTTGGTTAAGGCTTATCACAAGGTGCTCCAGGCAAGAAGTGCAGTTCTACTGTATGCTGGGGAAGTGGGGAGGCAGGAATATGTGCTGAGTGGCACCCAGAACTACCAGACTCTGTCTGGGGTGAAAAGCAAATAGAATACACTCAGAACACACTGGATTGCTTTTCATTATCCTTTGCCTTTCCCCTCCCCAGCCCAATGCCTGCATTGTTTTTCAAATCTAACTTTTCTATATGGTCCAGCCTTATATCCCTAAATGTCTGTGCTCCTTCATCTCGTTTACTCTTTCCCTCTAATTTTCACTTTCACTTAAATACAGCATTCTATCAATTCAATAGGTGTGATATTTACTGATGGCATGCCCTTCCCTCCATCCTCTCTGAAACTATTATTAGAACCTCCAAACTGCTCTCAGCTAGTCTGACCTTCTAAAGCACAAATTCTGTCATCCCACATGGCTTTAAAAATAGATTTTTTTTTCTAATAAAATAATTTGCAGGATAGGTTAAAGATGGAGCACTGGTGGTTATATATGAGAGTTTTTATATATTAAAATATAGGCTGAAAGTAGAAAAAAATGTAAAAAATAGAAAAGTAAAAAGGGATAAATGCATATCTCCTTGTGGAATCGGATATGTTCATTTACTCCTTCTTGAAACTATTCATGTGGTCCTAGTACTGTCTCCAGAACTGCTTATCCACCCTTTATCAGTCAATTCTTTCTTCCTCTGCAGGGGTCTTGGGGTTCTGTTTTGGTTCCGGTCTCCTCTCATTCTTTTTTTTTTTTTTCTCCTCTCATTCTTTTACTCTGTACGTTCTCCCCACTTGTCTTCAGGGTCTCATCCATGAAGACCTTATCACACACACATCCAGTACCAACCTCTTTCATTATGTTCTCTTACAGGGTTAAGTATTGTTGTTGTTTAGCTGTTCAGTCATCTCTGACTCTTTGCGACCCCATGGACGCAGCATGCCAGGCTTCCTTGTCCTTCACTATCTCCCAGAGTTTGCTAAAATTCATGTTTATTGAATCAGTGATGCCATCCAACATTCTCACCCTCTGTTGCCCCTTTCTCCTCCTGCCCTTCATCTTGCCCAGCATCAGGGTCTTTTCCTATGACTTGACTCTTCACATCAGGTGGCCAAAGTATTGGAGCTTCAGCTTTAGCATATGTCCTTCCAATGAATATTTAGGGTTGATTTTGTTTAGGATTGACTGGTTTGATCTTCATGCTGTCCAAAGGACTCTCAAGAATCTTCTCCACCACCATAGTTCAAAAGCATCAGTTCTTCAGTGCTCAGAATGGTCCAACTCTCACATCCATGCATGATTACTGGAAAGCCCATAGCTTTGACCATACGGACCTTTGTCGGCAAAGTGATATCTCTGCTTTTTAATATGCTGTCTAGGTTTGTCATAGCTTTTCTTCCAAGGAGAAAGCATCTTTTAATTTCATGTCTGCAGTCACTGTCCACCAATTTTGGAGCCCAAGAAAATAAAGTCTGTCACTGTTTCCACTCTTTCCCCTTCTATTTGTCATAAAGTGACAGGACTGGATGCCATCATCTTAGTTTTTTGAATGTTGAACTTTAAGCCAGCTCTTTCACTCTCCTCTTTCACCTTCATCAAGAGGCTCTTGAGTTCCTCTTCACTTCTGCCACCAGAGTGGTATCATCTGCATATCTGAGGTTGTTGATATTTCTCCCGGAAATCTTGTTTCCAGCTTGTGAATCATCCAGCCTGGCATTTCTCATGATGTACTCTGCATAAAAGTTAAATAAGCAGGGTGAGTATTTACAGCCTGATGTACCCCTTTCCTTATTTTGAACCAATCAGTTGTTCCATGCCTGGTTCCAGCTGTTGCTTTTTGACCCACATACAGGTTTCACCGGAGTCAGGTAAGGCGGTCTGGTATTCCCATTTCTCGAAGAATTTCCCACAATTTGTTGTGATCCACACGGTCAAAGGATTTAGCATATTCAATGAAGCAGAAGTAGATGTTTTTCTGGAATTCCTTTGCTTTTTCTATGATCCAGCTGATGTTGGCAATTTGATCTCTGGTTCCTCTGTCTTTTCTAAATCAAGCTTGTATATCTGGAAGTTCTTGGTTCACATATACTATGTTCAAAATTCAACATTTCTCCCCACTCTCACCCCAGTTATTCCTCTGCTCAGTTCCTTACAAGTTCTACAAGCCAGAGATGTAATTACTCTTGTTTCCTCTCTTCTCTACCCTTCTGATAGAATTAGAAACAAGCACTATTGTTTCTGAGTTCTCTCTAGCTTTTTACTTTCTTCTCCATACCCATTGTCACTGCCTTAATTCAGGTGCTTAGCATTTCTCACCTGGGGAGTGACAAGAAAAATTCTTTCTGAGTTTCTTTGTCTTCCTGACCTTTCCCGCAACCCTCAATCCAATAATATATCCTGTCACTGAGGAAGTAGACTGAGTCTTCTAAAGAACAGAGCTGATCATGTTATTCCTCTTTTAATTCCTCAGTGGCTCCCTGTTGTCTTCAGGATAAAATCTATGGACCTTAAGCACAGAACAGATTTTCATGACCTGCTTCTTTCATGGTTCTCATCCTTACTTGCAGTCTTAGTCTCTTACAAATTCTTCAGGAGCATCTTGGAATTCAGAGATTCCAAGTCTTGGTCCTTTAAGGCAGCACACTGTTTACATCTCTATAAAGAACTTTGCTGCACAGCATGGTCCCTTTTATCCTTCCTATCTCCACACACCCCTTTTCTTATGAGATTCAGTATTTTCTACTC